GAGGCGTGGGTCCGCCTCTCGCGGGTGGGGCTGGGTGGCGGCTCCGCGTCCAGCCCGGGCTTCTGGGTCGGGCTGAAGGGAGGCGGGCGCGGCCGGGCCGGCACCTGCGAGCGCGCGTGGGACGGGGACTCGGCCCCGAGGAACAGTCCTGAGGTTTCGGAGCGCCCTGCGCCTCTGCCTTCTACCCACACTTCTGGGATTTCTGATTTTCCTTGTCCCGTAATCTCAGAATCCAGCGCTTGGGACACCCTCCCTCCCACAGATCCCTGAGGTCTGACGAGTCAGCCACGGATCTCGATCCACAAGCAGAGTGCATTTGTGCCCACGCACTCCTTTGGGTGTGTGCATCGGTGTGCCCGAAGGGGCCGCCGTGTCTCAGGAAGGGAGTGTGTACGGTGTGTGTAAGTTGGCGCAGACTCCACCAGAACGGCCGGTCCCTCCTCCTCCCTCCCTGATTGCATCATTAGTGCTAATTGAGGAGCTTTCACACGCCAGTGCTTTAGCTGTTTGGAGTGAGCTCCCCCCTCCTGGGAGAGATAAGCCGCGGCCCCTCCCCCTCGCCGCTCTGCACTTCCCCACCGCCCCGACCCTGTTCACCTACCGCCCTGGGCACCCTCCTTCCTCCCGCTGCACCGGTTAATCTCCCCTCCACGGTGTCAGGGACTGGCCGGGGAGGGGTGTCCGGAGAGGGCATTTTCCCAAGAGGTCCGGCGTTCCTACTAAACACAGGACCTCTGTGGTTAAAAGGAGACAGGGTTTTCTGCCCATTTCTTTTGGATGTGGAAGAGGAGGAGGAGAGGGCTGAGTCCTTGATCGCCGGCCTGTGATCCCACTAAGGTTGGCCTTCCAGACCCGACTTCTTGGTCGTCTAGGACGCAGCGAGTGGTGGCCCAGGCTAATTTAGCAGTCACAGGAAAGGCAGGGTGCAGGAAGCCAAGATTCCCCTGAGAGCTCTGGGCTTAGTGGAGTCCAGAGTCCGGTCTGTTCCTGTTTAGTTTCTCTGCCTTGTGCTGGCCCGTGGCTGAAGGGTGTGTGTGTGTGTGTGTGTGTGTGTGTGTGTGTGTGTTGGTGTGTGTTGGTGGTGGGGTGGCTCTGAGCAGATGCCCTCCCCAGCCCTCACACCAGATGTCTTTGGTCTAATTAACTGTGCTGGGAAAACCAACCTGGGTTTGTAAACAGAGCTACTGGCTAAAGTCAACAGGGAACAGCAGCAAACAGCAAACATTCCCGTCACACTCAGCCCGGGTCCAGTTCAGCCTCTCCCACCTGCCCCCCCAGGGGAGAGGGGAAGTGGGATGATCAGAGGCCCCCTGCCCCCAGCTGAGTCAGCAGAAGCCTGTCTGCCTCTGTGACCCCAGTATGGCTGCTATTTCCTTGCCTGTTCCAGGGTCTCCTCTACTGGGGAGGAACAGGGATTCTGGGAAGAGCAGTTGCCATCCTAAGGTAGGCTGTGTTCTCCTTCCACACTTCTCTATAAACACTGGCACCTACTCAGCCACACATCTCAGTGGTCCAAAAGGCCCCTGTGGAGAGACTCTCCCCTGAAGAATTTTCTCTGGGGCCTGCCCTGCTTTTCTGTCTTGGAGACGTCTCCGTGGGCAGGGCTTGGCACTGTGGAGTCTCAGCTCTGAGCTGGTGAATAGAATGTGAACATTGTCAAGTTCATTACACATCGTGTAGGTATTATAATAACATGTTCTGAAATTAGATAATTATTCCTGTGATATCTCTGCCAGACTTCTGTGTGTCTGTTATGGTTTGAAAGTTCAATGCACGCAAGGGCCGGAGAAATAGGCACAGAAGTATACACAGTGCACACAGAAGCCCACGAAGCAGGAGCTTCACACACAAGAACAAAGACATTTCACCTCTTGTTTCCCTTGCCCACTCTCAGACACACCAGCACGTAAAATGTGAGATGGAAATAGGTGTTTGGCCTCTGAAACGAAGGGGTTTAACTTTGTGAACAGATTAGAGTTTCTGAATTGGCAGTTCTTAACCAAATTTTGCTTGTTTGCTTTTTTTTTTTTTTCACGCCACCCAAGAAGTGCAATCATTTTGAATAACTGAAAGGCATGAAATGCTATGCTGTGCTACTGTAAACTCCCAGTGTACATCTGTCCATCCGCCCGAAGGCGAGGCAGGGTCCACAGCCTAGGCCTCCCAGGTGCTATCTTCACGCTAGCACCTTTAGTCCGGATGCTCTTCCTTCCCCAAGGCTCCCGGGAGCCCTCAGACCAGGGTCCTGTGCTTGTATGATAAGGTAAGGCTCAGTGCCTGGATCTAGGATGTTTGTTCCTCTCCCCCTCTTCCCACCATCACCCACTCCTAGGCACCTTCTTGCCACACGTGGTCAGGGTGTCTGAGCCCCTGGGTTGTGTAATACAGTACAGTATCAACCTCTGGCAGCCTTCTTGAAACCCTTTCCTTCCAGCCTGGGTCTCTTTTGGAGTATTGCTCTCCTGCTCAAAAACCTGGAGGATAAACTGAACTGGCCCTCAGGCCTCTGAGCTGACCCTAGCCCTCTACCCAGCCCTGTACCCCCCTTATTATTCCCCTATGGAAAGTCAAAGACCCTGGCCTGCTGCCTGTACTCCTGCCGGCTGCCCTTTATCTACCTGTCCCCATCAGTCCTGTCTCTTCTGATTTCTCCTTCTTGGAATGCTCTCTTCCAGCCTGTATGCTCCATCTCTCCCAGAAAGTAGAGAGTTAGAGATAATGATTCTTTGACTGGGGTACACAGGTCTGGGGTCTGGAGAGTGTATTCTTGGCATTCCCTGGATTTATTTCCTTTAAAAGGTAATGTACAGAACACATTTCTCAGATCTTAGAAAACTTGTGTAAAGAGCTTGGTACTTAGGGGGCTGGGGATATAGCTCAGTGGCACAGCACCTGCCTTGAAGCGTGAGATTGTGAGTTTGATTCCTGGTATGTAAAAAAAAGAGCTTGGTACTTGGAATCGGAGATTTTGTCTGAGTTGCATTTCCCTGGGCAAGGCAGTCAACCTCTCTCTGTCCATTTTCTTATTTAGAAAATGGGGGGCAGCTGGGTGCAGTGGCACGTGCCTGTAATCTCATTACTCTAGGAGGCTGAGGCAGGAGGATGGCAAGTGGGAGACAGAGTACAGACCACTTGGGAAATTAGAGAGGCTGTGTCTCAAAATTAAAAAAAAATTTAAAAAAGAACTGAGGATATAGCATATAGGTCAGTGTGAAGACCCTGAGCTCAATCCCCACTACCACACACACACACACACAAAAGTGCGTGGTGGGGGTGGGAGTGGATAATAACAGTGCCTTCCATACCTACCACATAAAGTTGAGGGGATGAAATGGAAGAAAAAAGCCTGACATAGGATAAGCCCTCAGTACAGTATGTGTAATCCGTTAGTAGTATTAATAACATTAAACAAATAAACATCTGTGACAACATGTTAGACAACTTGGTTGGCTGTAACTCTGCCTAGAGGGAGAAATGACTTTAGCTACTTTGTATCCTCATTCCCACAGGTGAAATCCCTGAGCCTCCTGTCTCTGTGTTCTACCTGGAATGTTTATATTTTCCCAAATCAGCAAACTAACAATTGATCTGGGCGGGGAGATGCTCCCTCTCCTGACTCCTCCCGGGTGAACTACGGAGGGAAGACCGCAGATCACAGCCTGAGTCCGCAGGGCCCAGCGGCAGGGGCGGAGCGGAGCTTCCTCTGCCCAGGCGCAGGGGGCGGGGCCTGACTCCAAAACTGAGGGGAAGGGGCGGAGCCAGGCAGCCCGCTCCTCCGCCCCCACCTCCCCAGGTAGGAAGTGAAGCTGACATTTCCAAAATATAAAAAACAGATGATGAAGGTCAGGTTTCCTACACTGGAGAGCGGGAGCCCCCAGGCAGAGTCCCCAAGAAATTATCTTAGTCAGAGGGGTGGGAAGAGGGAGAGGAAGGGACAGAGAGAGGGAGAGAGCGAGAGACCGACAAAGATGCAGAGACATGGAGACAGCCCCCCCCACCCAATGCCGAGGAAGGTAATCAGACAAAGAGAGACCCCAGGCTCGGGAGA